AGAGCACCTGGGGAAACCTGAGGCCGACCTCTGGGCTTTTGGAGCCGGGGATACAAAGGCTCTGAAGCTAATTATACATCAACTGAGGAGGAGATGCTGGCAGCATACGAAGGAGTTCGGGCTGCCTCAGAAGTGGTCGGCACTGAAACATAGCTCCAGGGTAATGAGAAATGAATCCAGACAGATGAATTAAGTGGGATGAAAGCTGGCTCTGTGGGGAGGGCAGGGGAGCCAATACCTCACAAAAATCACTGCGAACTGAACTGTTTGCAATGCAAAGGAGTAGTATAGTTGCTTGCTATAGGCTACAACAGTGGCAACTAAGAAGAAGAATATTTACCTTCGTGGTTTTCCTTGGTTTGGGTTCAGGTTTTGGTGGAGCAGGTTTCTATAAAACATTTTTAGTTGCACAATGTGTTAGACATATTACCGCAAGCCAGCCAGACACTTCCACCCCCCAGCTTCCCCCCACCTTCCCTTACTTCCTGCTCATTAGTATACATCTAGAAAAAAACCTGAAGAACCTTAATGTACAAATGCACCTCATCACTCTACACATCCATTTTCATTAGCTCATGCATCTAGCAGTCAAAGCAATTTGGACATCATTCTAAGAGTAAAACATGGAGACTAACTATTAAAAAACACGACAGATACGTTCTAACTGCGAAGAGGAACTAAAACCAAAATACTAGTAGTGACATCAAATCAAGTCCTTGAAGGACAGCTCTTTCTCCTTCCCAGAGAAGTAGTTGCATTCCCACAACTAACATCAGCCTGCAAAACGATACAATGTCAATACTGCATGTAACAGACAGTGTTGCACTGAGGTGGAGAAATACAATCTTTTGTCAGAACAGCCTGAAACCTGAAACCAAGAAAACACAGATAACTTTAGGTCCAGAGTTCTTAAATATCCCTCAGCAAGAATAAAAATTGAATCAAGCAAAAATATAACAAATCTATTTGGTCTGAGAAAGCGTATGTGCCTAGAAAAGTATATACCAAGAGGTGTTATACATACTTACAGCTGACAATCTTGCTGACCGTCTTGTGGGCTACAGAAAAAAGGAGAAAACATTTTGATAGACTTACAGCAAACAGTATCCAAAGCAACATAGTATCAGTCATTTCACGGTGACAGCATAGAATATGCCCCTACCAAAATATGTCTCTATTGCTGAACACAATTCACATCTTCACCTTGGAAGATCGAAATTTTAAAAGGGACAAAGTGATGTGAAAATTTGTAATAAAAACTAATTAAACATTTATATGTCCATATAGTTAAATACTTCTTTCCCCTGCCCCCCTCATTTTATAAGTACTTCCAAGTCCCATGCTGCTCGATTCAAGGTTCACAAATACAGCAAGCTTGAGTACCTGTCAACAGGACACTGAACCTTTCTCATAAATACTTAGGATGATGTTTCTGTAATCTAGCAGATGCTACTTGTAATAGCGGGTAAAAATATCACCTGATTAACAGCAGAATCAACATCCTTCCCTAGAGGATATCAGAGTACTAAAACTTCAAAACATGAAACTAAGTCCTTCCACTTCCTCAGTTCCTTACACACTCAATCTGAGAGTCCAGGTGCACAAATACAGCTGCAAGATGAGAGGGAGAAATTATTTCTTCTATTTAAACAGAATTCTCAAAAGAACAGAAGTCAGATATTCTGCTTTCCTCCACCTTCCTCTATCACTTCAATAAATCTTCATTATTACATTTTATTTCACTCTGTTCTTCGTAATAAATTTATTACAGAAGATGAGTCAAGTCCTAGAAATAGCTGTAAGCTCATTAGTTTGTTCACAGTATTTTTGTAGTCATTAAAACAGAGGAACCCATGATCCAGTTAAATGGCATTGTTATCAAACAAAGTTTGGCCTACGTCATAAAACTGGAATCACACTTGTAGCCAAAATAAAGGGACAATTCAACTGCAACAAATAACAAGTGTAACACAGCTTAAAAAGTGAGTCAAAAGTATCATCTTAAGTACATTTTATCCATTTAGGTTGAGCTGAAAAAACATGGCTCAACACATCTTGCTACAGGAAAAAGCTGTTGTTTATATCTGAAGAATGAAGTAATTCGTATCCACTGGAGCCATTTAAGTATTCTTAGTGGAAAGCAGTAGTGAACAGTTCAGATCTTCATCCAGCAAAATAAAAGGCTTGTCAAAAACCACTTAAATATGTTTTCAGCTACCAAATATTTATGCATCATTAACAAACAAACAAACAAAAAGTAAATCTCTCTCTTCTTGGCAATTTAGAGTACCAACTGCTTGTTAAGCAGCCTAGCAGTATTTTACAACATGTTAAATAAAGCATTTCATTTGGTCAGGTAATCAAGTAGCTCCTAGCTCAAGGTATCTTCTTTTACACATCCATTTTCTTAAACTGATGATTTCTATCCCTCAGCATTTGGGCACTGGAATGTTTTGTTAGCACCTACTTTTTAAAGGATAATATGTTGGTTTAGATAAATTCTAATTTTCTCCCATATTCCCCAACAGTTCCTGTTCCGTGACTGATTTCATAGAAAGCTTGTATTACTGTAAGAAAGTCAGCATAAACCCTCCATTCTTTAAAAATACCTGACGGCAAAATAATTTTAATTCTCCTTCAGAGTTTGCATGCATTTTGTGTCATCTGATTATAAGGAGGGAACTTCAGTCAAGTCAGCAGAAGCCACATTTTACTGTGCTTTCGGAATCTTTGTCCCCCTCCAAACAGCCGTACTAAATCAGAAACTAGCAGCTCACCCATCTGTTTGACACTTGCCCACTAGCAAACATCTACAGAAGGAGTCTATGAAACCGACCTGACACAGAACAACACTTTGCACTTTCCTATTGCACCAGCTTCTGGCAATCTAAAGTTGTGAACTTTCCAGCTTGGATATTATATCCACATCATGTGTTTAATAGTCCCCGAGGGTCATTTTCTCTGTAAGTTTGTCTAATAACCTAGTGAACCCATTTACACTTTCAGTTTCCGTAACATCCTGTGGCAATGAGTTCCATAATAGGATTATGCACTGTGTGGAAAAGAAAAAGCAAAACCTTCCCTCTCTGCTGTCTTTCCTTTAAACTTCTTGCCTCTCACTTTCACTAGATTTCTCTTGGTTTTAGGTTTCATAAGAAATAATTCCTGAACTGTCTTACCAATTATTTTATCACCCCTATTCTCAACTTTTTATATCCTAGAACATCTGGGTTGTTTGGGGGTTTGTTTGGGTTTTTTTGGTTTGTTTGTTGGGTTGTTTAAGGTTTTTTAAAAAGCTGCTCTGCATCTTGTTTGTCCCACTATACTTGGTATCCTTTTAATTCTATCATGGCCTTTTAAAGAAAGAGTCAGGAGAACTTCACTTAGTAATCCCATAGCTGGGAGCACAACAAATTAATCTTGTGATACACTGATGTTTCTCACTCTGTCTTCTAGCTTTTTTTCCTATATTCTAGTTACCTTTTGCTTAGAACTGACATTTTCTAGTAACTATTCACTGTGATTTCACAATCTCTCCCTCTGATTAACAGCTGATTTGGTGACCACCACTGTGTTCTCCCCTTCCTCCATGTATTTAATTTGCATTTCTCCATAAGGAATTTCTACTGATATTTTATCACCTAGTTATCAGTGATGAAACAGCTGTCTTGGTCTCCCTCACTTCTGACTACTCTGATAACTCTTTTGAAAACTTTGTGTAATTTCTCTAGTACCTCCTCCTCCTAGATCATCAATTAATATATTCAGCAGCACAAGCCCAAACACAAAACATTCCAGTACTTTACTCATAAATCTCCACCACTATGAAAATCAACTACTACTTCCCCACACTCTTCTGATGTGTTACCAATTCTTAGGAAGATCCTCCCTTTAATCAATACTAGCTTAGTTTCTTTAAGAACCTGCTTGGGGAGCCTTATCAAAAACTGTTCTTTGTAAACTATATCAATTGGCATGCTACCATCCTTATACCTCTTGGCTTCTGTGAAGAACCTGACTGCCTGAAGAATGACTTCTCTGCAAAACACGTTAACTCTCCCATTCTAAAGTCATCCACACATACGTTTGGGTTTGTTTGTTTGTTTGTTTTTAAAAACACAACACAAAAAAAAAAAAAAACCACAAAAAACCAAAACCAACCTACTTTTGCAAGTTAGACTCACAGCCTTCATTTTCCAAAATCCTTTATATAAAGTCCTGGGAGCATTTCATCACCTTCAGTTACTCTGGTACCGAGGGCAATGCAAGCAATAACTTACATACTAACAGATTCACAATTGCTGGCAAATACTGTCTAGTTCTCACTCATGCTTAATTGAAGAATGTCCTCCAGACTGTACACCCATGAGAAAAGGTTCCACTGTGAGAATGTCCCTAAAAATTCTCCATAGCAGTTTCATTACTGTTTTTCAGCTTCACATCTGCCATCCTGAAGGGTTTGATCCTTTCCTCATTATTTTCCATCAATAAAAAAAAAAAAACCAAACCCTTTCGAATAGAATAAATTTCCCTTATTTTGCTATCAAGCCATTCTGGATTGGGGGAGGTGGGGGGTGGAGCAGGGGCTTTTGAAAAATAATATGTATTTCTACAAGGCTCTAGTGTGGCACACCAGGAAGCCCCTCTGCCACCTGAAACCATTAAACGTTTTAGCTATTCCTTTTAATAGGGTCTAATTTTTAATATAATTCCCTTTCTTGATATCAAATCTTACCATAGCAGAGTTTATTTGCAATTACATTCCTGCAAGGATGATGAACCTGAATATATTATGGTCATAATTACAGAATAGTTCTCTGACAACTGTCTTTTTAACTAGCTCCTACATACTACTGAGGACCAAATAAAGACCTGATTATCCTTTTTTTTTTTTTTTTTTTTTTTTTTTTTTTTTTTTTTTTTTGTCCTTTGATTTGTTCCTCTAGGAAGCAAGTGTTTATAGTTTTAACTTTTTAATCTTTGTAATGCCATCCATGCCTTTTACCAAATCTCTGAAGGGTAACTTAAATCTCCATCAACACTGTTTCTGTCCTCAGAGCCTCTCTGATCTCCCTTAACATCCCATTGCCACTTTTATTATTGTGGTCAGATGATATCTAGAACAATTTCTACACTATATTTCCATTTACACATAGCTTGGCAATTCATATTCTGCTGTACTTATTGATGCAATTAACCTAAAGAAATATTAAAGACACGTAACAGAAAGCCATTCTACCACTAATGCAACTTGGCTCTCAACTCTGTATTTGTGCCTTTGTGTCAGTGTCCCAAAAGTTTTCAAGTTACCCATTATATCAACATCCTCATTTAAAGCCAGATAGTCCAAGTTGCCCAGATTTAGATTTGCTGCTTTTGTGTTTTAGCTTGACTGCCTGTCTTCATAGGCATGAATTAAACAGGGTTTTATTTCTCAGGACTGCTCTTTACCTTTTCAGATGCAAACTTTTATAGCTTCTGTGCTAGCCCCTGCTCTCTGCCCTGACAGTGAGCTCTGACTTCACCCTATGTGCTTTCAAGAACTTGCCAGTCTCCCCTCAGATGTTTAGTTTAAAATAATTCAGAAGATCTCCTGATCACCATCCACATAGGTCTGGTTTAGTTCAGACTGAAGTAACCCTTCCTACATAAATTCTAATCTAATCCTAAATCTATTTTCCACATTCACACACCAGGAGCTACAGGGGTATCTACTGAGATTATCTTAATTTGTTGTTGTCGGTTTGTTGGTTGTTTTTTTTTTCCTGTAGCATCAACAGCCACTATTATCTCACCTTGATTGAAGACTACTCTAGGAGCTCTCATATTTCAGAGTCAGCAGGCTCTCTCCAGAGTATTTCTCCTGTGTATTTCTGTAAGCTTTTTCCTTTTTAAAAATTCTAACAATCAGGTCTCAAATTTCTAGGGGAAGGAACTTTCACTTTTCTGGCTCTTGAAGAAATAATATTTAAACTTGGAAAGAAAAAAACCATGCAGAGCAAAGGAAATTGTATTTTTACTATGATTTACTCAGCCTTTTAATACTTTATGACAAAGAAACTTATTTGTTTTCTAGAAAGTTCCATAGGACGATACTGAGGTATCAAAATCTGTTCCTCTCAGACCTCCTTTTTACTCTACCTGTTTCTTTGAGAAGTTTATTGTAAATATTACTACTGTTTCAAATATTTTGACATTTCCACTGTACCATCTTTTTCTGCCAGACAGAGCAATAACCTCTTAATTCAGAAAGTGTAAAACTTCATTAGACTATTTCTCCTGTTCATTTACACTCCAAGATTTACAAGAGCAACTAACTGTTAATTCACTTGAATATTCACCTATTCTTTTCAAGGTCTGCCACAAAAGATGACAACCTAAGGGAATTAATCCTTATAATTTGCTACATGTTTTTTTTTTTTAATTCACATTAAGGGCCATGACAAACAAATAGGCAAACTTTACTGTAGAGGTCAAATTATCACTAGCTGTCTCCTCACCTTCTCTGACAGAAGTTACTGTGCCCTTAAAACAAATTCAGACAAAGAAAACACACAGATATGTCAGCTGCTCCAGTTTAGAGCCTAGTATCTTAATTCAAGACACCCTTCCACCAGTCACTTAAGCTAAGAATAGTTTTGAACTAAACTGGCTGAGGTGTGCACATCAACCGTCTTCTGCCAACCTACTAGAGACAGAGCAACAGTTCCAGGCAGTAACATCCTACAGTGTTGCCACAAGATCCACCAGAGCTTGTCTATCAAAACCTTAAAATGTTTCTGAAATTCATTTTATGTAATAAGTTGTATGAATCCTCAGTACACCAACAAAACAAATTATGCCACATAAGCTACAAATGTGGTTTACTGTCATTATTCCCACTGAAAACACTTCACTAAAAGTGCCAGAGCAATGCACAGTCTTCTGATATGCAAGACTGCAGATGTCCAGTTAAATAATTACATGCCAAAAAAAATTTTAAAAAAGAAATATACTTGCCTCTTGTTTAGTTACTTTTGCTGCATCCTTGCCTTCAGCACCCTCTGGAGACTGAAAGAAAATATTAAGTCAGTGTTTTCACTACAGACTTAAAAGCATCGAGGCAACAGCAAAACATGGTAAAGATTCTTCTTTCTATACATTGCAGCAATTTAAACAAGTCTGACAAATTTACGTTAGTATTTTCAAGCATCATTGTACCAAAGCCATTCTAGCTTTTCCAAGCAAGAACACAAACAAGGACTGATTATCACCAGGTACATACATATCATATCACACAGCATCCTGCAGTGGTCCCTCTAGCCAATTAATTAAAGCATCCACAGGCTCCAGTGGGAGCTCCATCTAATCAGCAGTTGGTGGCACAACAGTATGAACTGGAAATCTGAGGTTTGCTCTCGTAGGGCTTTTGAAATCCCCGAGAAATTTAACATGCTTCTTCGCAAATGCAAACTTAACTAGTAATAAGTTGTGATGAGACAAACCAAAAAAGCACAGCATTACTGAAATGAGTGATTTCTTTACCTCATTTACTCCTTTTGTGCCTCAGGTTCACTCAACTGGAAGCTTTAACAGCATCTACCATCTCATCTCCATCAGAACAGCAAAAATCAGTAAAACACCACGACATTGACAGGAAAGCTAGGGACAAACATGTTTCTTCACTACAACAAATTATCAACCTGACCATTTTAAGGTTGGTCTTCCAGACGTAGCAAAGAAACATTAGTTAAACCACGGGAGGGGGGAGGGGGGGATAAATAAAATCAAGCTTCTATCTTCTGTTTACAACTCAAGATGTATTACTTCACATTATGCAAATGACTGGGTTTCCACCTAGGAGCAAGCAATTCATGGAAAACCAGCAAGCAGAAGCAGTTAGAGGAGAGCTGCAAGCATGGCATGTGTTTCAAAAAAGGCATTTAACAGGCAGCAAAGGCGGCAATTTGGTTGCTGTTTTGTTTTTCAATCAGCAAAGGAGCAAGCTAGTTAACTTTTCCCTTGTCTTTCCATTTCAATCCTAACCCAAACCTTCCGCCAGATTTTGACGCAGAATGTCCTGGAGTTATACTGTTACAGTTTGGAGCAGAGAAAAAGACCAGCTAGTTTGCAGCAGTTGACCGCTGCCTTCTCCTGGCACTGGGCTCTAACATACTTACAGAAAGACACCCCCCACCAGAGAATAAAATGTGGCTTTGTTACTGTGCGCTCTCCCGACAGAAAAGAAGCATGCCACAAAAGCAGATGGCTTAAAAAAAGCCGAGGACTGATCATCTAAGTAGCTAGAAAGCAGCAGGAAGTTCAGCAGCACTGCGCAGCGTAGAGCAACTCAGAATAGCAACAGAGTCAGGCATCCAAAATGGAGCCTGACTGTTCCCTACGCCGCTGCAGCCTCACCAGCCACCTGCAGGATTGTTTCAGGTTTACATTCTTAAAAGCTTTTCAGTCTGGTTACTAAAGAGTTGCCACAGCTTGATGGCGTGATGCTGGGAGCATCAAAAGCCATAAGGAAAACAAACCCAAGTAGTTCCATGATCACTGTCAGTAACAAAGTCTTGTTTCCTACAACCTCCCTCTTCAGCTCACGATACGGTATAAGCTCTGGGTATAGCTTTTCTGTAGTCCATGAATTCATAACATCTGTTTCTCCTGTATGAATTTTCTCAAGTCTAACAAACTTGCCCTAAACCCTTTCCCTGGAAGGAAACTCAAATAGCATCTCTCCTGTCCTGGGCACCCATTTATATAGAAGTTCTCTCAGATTTTATAATCTTTTCCCTCAATAGTGACCAAGAGGCTCAAGATTTACAGGGGTAGGGACAGAAAGATAGCATGATGCATTTCCTTCAGAAGTCAGGCTAAAAAACTCACCATAAACTAAATGAAACTGACACTTCACAATTGGGCTGTTATACCCTACTTCACTTTTAGGAACCACAAAGCTTTGAAACAGGGCTAGATCATCACAAAATGGCACTGACACATGCCAATCAGCCTTGCAGTAATTGCCCAGGAGCAAACTCTCACCCTGCAATACTGCACAGTTAACTTACCCCATTCTCTTTAGCACTAATAAAAGACAAGTCTTCTACATTTCTGATAGACAGGGCAGCCTGACTTTAGATGCCAATATTATTGCTTGACAACAGATGTTAAAAACTGCTCATGAGGCTAAGTGCAGGGGGAAAAAAATTATATTAAAATATTCTTAATGCAACCACTGTATACTACTATGATATTACACAACAACTTAAATTAAGTTAGCTAATTAGCCCAGCATTCCCTCTGAAGTTAGAAAATCTAACACCAATTCTGAAGGCCACATAACCTTCTCCATGGAGAGACATGCACAGTAATAGTCTCAGAGGTGTGAATAAGCAGCAAGGGGTTCTGACACACTCTCATTTCCATTTCAGACCTGCTCCCTCCTCTCTGCAATCACTACAAGTCCAGGTGTTCGGAGTCTTCACTCACCCTCTCAGGGGCTGGCAGAGCTGTGTGGGAAGCCATGTCATGAGTAAGGTAGTTGTTCCAGCTGAAAAATAGCCTGCTGCTTAAAAAATCCCGTATAAATATACATACAAATTATAAATATATAGTCTTCCCTGTTCCATCAGAATCATTTTACTGCACAGCTGCACAAACAGTTGAGACCGTACAAGAATGAAGTGGCGTGGGGCAGTCGCAAGCAGCCTGGGACTCTAAGCTGCCAGACACACCAGGAAAAAAAAAAAAGTCAGATATGGCTACAGTATATTTGTTAAGAGGAACAGAAATGTGTTTTCCCCTCTGTGAGTCCTGCTTAGACATTCCAGTGAGTCCCAGCTGATGTAGATCTTCATGCTAGTTTTTGCAGTACTTTCTCCTCTCCCTAAGGAACAGAGAGATTTGTACATGAACGGATTTGAGCCAAGCACAGTTCCCAAAAAAACTGGCATGCCACACTCAGTGACTGACTACGCTAGTATCTGGAAGTCACAGGACTTTTATGTCGATACCACCAAAACCTTAAAGTTCTTGTCCTTAACTTTTCCACAGGAACCCTTCCCCCATCTTTTGTCCTGGTGATAAACTACTGAAGGACCTCTGGTTTCAAAGGAACTAAACATACTAAGTAACCCGTCCTCTTGGCACATTTTTCCACATGATGTAATGCTACGGCTCACCATATTTCACATGGCACCCCAGCCACATTAAAATGCATCCTGGACACTGTGCCGTATATCGTAAACTAGTCAGGACTGGGACTGTCCACACTGCAAGTTTTGTGCAGCAAAATCAAAGACCAATGCAAGCACCGAATCACTTGACAAGGGCAGCATTCCAACCTCAGTAATTCTTCAGCTGTGCTCCATCATATGCCTGTACAGTACTCATAAAGTAGTCCGTATAGACCTGTCGTGCCTGATACTGTATGGATGCCTACAAGAGACAAGACAGGTAAAATAAAAAAGCAAGTAAGGACAGATAATAGTGATTTTTTTTTCCTCCCAATCATAGAGGTACACAGAAGGAAAGATGACTGGGTAACTCTAAACATGCTTTTGATATTTAAACTAATAGCAAGTTCAGGTGACCACACACTGTGTCATACCTCAATTAGCCCTATATATTGGCAATAAGATTGTAAATTAAGCTGTAGCTAAGCTCGTAAGATCTGTCAGAGCTGCATAACTTTTATATCACAAGATTAAGCTGAAAGGTTGCATGCAAGATTCCCTGTGTCTTTTGGCAAGAAGCTTTTTTTAAACTTGCTTCTCCCTGCCCCTTTTTAAGTACAACCTAGAAAATGATTTTGAGAGGACTGGAAAAAACAAAGGAATATTAATAGATGATAGTGAACATTAAAAAAAAATAAAATCAAAGGAATATTGAGCTTGCTGGCATACACAGTCCTTGCATTTCACCAGCTGCGAAGTATACGTAAGAAATGGTGTTTCCACACACCAGGACAATGCTGTGGTATCTGCAATGCCAACACCATTACAGAACTGTTAAGTTGAAACAAGAAAACTAGATAACTGTTTTAAGGAAACATTTGATAGAACAGACAGGCAAATTTCCTTCTTTTATTGTTCTTAAGGCTGGGTTACCTGGTAGAGATGAACCACAAAAGAAACAAAAAGCTTCAATTTTTCTAATCAAAACCCTGCAATATAAGCAGGATATAATGAGGGAACAGTAACACAAAGCGGTCAAGTTATTGATGTCCGAATGATTCAAAGGTACACGTTTGAACCTGCAGTGACCAGCTTCTGGATAAATATTTTGTTTGTACTAAAATGAATGAAGAGAAAAGCCTGAAGAATGAGAATATAAGTATGTGAGAAGTAACAGTCAGTACAGAAGGTTGCTTATAAAATGAAATAGATCATTCAGTCTCTGAAGGATCTTATTACTAGCTGAAACTCAACACCTTGGCTCTGATGGGACAGAAATTAGTCCTTTCATGCCCACATGAAAAAAAAATTAAAAAGCAGATGCCAATTTCATTCTAACAGTCACATTAAGAAGTTAGAAAAGCAGAAAGCCTTAACTGTCCTAGCACTTGAGCATTCTTTATAGCGTTTCCTCCTTTCTCTGCAAGCTGTTTTGTTAGGCCACATATTGATATGCTGCCTGCAATGGGACTTGCCTGTAGATACTTTTCTGGCTCACTGTACCAGCTACATTTTCCATGATGTAATGCTTTGGTCACTCTTCCAACTTTTTTCACCAACCAAAATACGTAAAAGCTCGCAACAAAACCACAGTGCAAGAAAAGAGGATGTATCAAATCCTAAGACTTTTTCAGAGTTTACTGCATTATTTTCCTAAAATTTTTCCTCCCCTCATTTCCATTTGAGTAGAACTCTGCATTAAACTAAATTTAATTCAATGAATTGTTTCCCCATACATGTTAGATATTCTGATTATTTGTCTTCAGAGGAGCTCTGTTTGTGCCAGTTCATAAATGTAATTAAAATGCTGTTTATTTCTTGGGTTAGATTAATAAAGACTACATGTTGACTAATTTAACATCAACCAACTCCTGCAACACCCTTCTAACCATTGTTTCC